TTTGTTTGCAGGAGAGATTCCTAAGAGTTTAGAGGGACTGAGAGGTTTGGAAGACATAGATCTTTCACGTAACAACTTGTCTGGGAAGATTCCTGAATTCCTCAATGAGTTTGTAGCTCTCAAACATCTCAATCTTTCTTACAATGACCTTGAGGGTGAAGTGCCAAAGGGAGGGATCTTTACAAATGCAACTTCCACTTCATTATACGGAAACAGCAAGCTCTGCGGTGGTATCCCAGAATTTAATCTATCTACATGTACAACCACATCGACAAGAAAATCTCTCGCGCTGAAGGTGGCAATCCCTCTTGCTAGCACTTTGGTGTTTGCCATCCTTCTATCATGCTTTCTTGCACTCTTTTTCATGGCAAAAAGAGTGAAGAAAAGATCAGAAGAAAATGCAATCAACACAAGGGATTTGAACCCAGAAATTTCTTACGCAGAAGTGGCTAGATGCACTAGTGGTTTCTCTCAAGAAAACTTGATCGGTTCGGGAAGATTTGGTTCGGTATACAAAGGAACTCTCACTAGAGACAACGCATTAGTTGCAGTGAAAGTATTCAATCTTCATCAAAGAGGAGCTTCAAGGAGTTTCACTGACGAATGCAAAGCTTTGAGAAGAATAAAGCACCGGAACCTTCTCAAGATCGTAACTGCTGTATCAAGCATTGATCACCAAGGTAATGACTTCAAAGCTCTGGTGTTCGAGTTCATGTCTAATGGGAATCTAGATGATTGGATACATCTAAGAGATAATGTGCAACGGGAGAGCAAGAGATTGACATTTGTCCAAAGACTGAACATAGCAATTGATGTTGCTTGTGCACTGGAATATCTCCACCGTTTTGTCAAACACCTATCGTACATTGTGATATAAAACCAAGCAATGTACTGCTTGACAATGATTTGGTTGCCCATGTTGGTGACTTTGGACTAGCAAGCCTTCTATACGAAGAATCAAGCGACTCTTCCATTTCACAGGAACACTCAACCATGTCAGGTGGCCTAAAGGGTTCTATTGGGTATATTCCACCAGGTAAATTTTTACACTTCACACTTGAAAGCCTCAAATGCATAATTCTATGCAAGTACCACTTGATTCAATATCATGATTCAAATTGTTGTGTCAGCATGTCCGCTTTTGAAAAAGTGAAATGTTTGCAGAGTATGGTATGGGCGGACAACCTTCAACACTAGGAGATATCTACAGCTATGGGATACTATTACTGGAGATTTTCACAGGAAAAAGACCCACAAATGATGAATTTGAAGGCGGGATGGAAATTCACCAGTATGTGGCAATGGCTTTACCCAATGAAGCCTTGGAGATAGCTGATCCTTCCTTGCTACCTGAAGAAGAAGATAAGATGAAGAGATATACTTGGAGGAGAGAGCAATAAGGAAGGAAAATCGAAGGAGGAGAGTAACAGAGGATTGCCTGAGTTCATTGATGCAAGTGGGAGTATCTTGCTCTGCAAGTCTGCCATCAGAGAGGCCGCAGACTATGACTGTGGTTGTTAACAAACTCCAAGCAATCAAGAAAGTGTACATCGCCAGATAAATATGCGTTTGTGACAATAATTGGAGCGAGAGAGAGATGGTAAGGTCATCAGTTTGCTGCATCATTTTTTTGCTTTTTATACCAGTGATTTTATGACATTTTTATCATATTATACTCATGTTTACTGTAAAAATATATTAAAGATTTATACTTAATCACACATTACTATTTCCTGAGGTTATCTATGGTGATTACACTTCAAAAGAAGAATTATTAGCTGTATGCAGCGTTTCTGCACGCACATGTATGATTCTATGCTCGTGAATTTCTGAGCAGTCAAACATTTTCATGGCAGACACCTTTTTCTAAAACATACTATTTGGTATTTATGGCAGAAATCACACACACACACACACACACACACTATTTGGTATTTAACTTGTAGATTTTTTTTATTGATAAACAACAATTTATATTTATTTAAAGTATCATAATTATTACAAACTATGATTCATGAACATGTTGGAATATTCCAGGTATTCATTGGGTGTTCTATTTGAACTTATTTTCTGTAGTGGACCTAATGCTTCAAATGACCAGGACTTAAACGGCTCATCTTATGACGCAGCTCACCGATGTAAACCAACGGTAAAACTGTGCCTGATTGAGTCATATCATTAATAGATACAGGACACCTTCAAAGTCACTTGCATGGTTTTCTGTTAGAGAGCATCATGGACAAATTTCCACAAGAGGAGCTGAACCTTGAGTTCGTCCTCCAATTTCCAAATTTTCTTCCAAATTGCTGAAGATTCCCGCTCTGTTCAATCTGATCACAATGTTTGGATACATCAATTCATGAAATAATGACTCATTTTCTACAGTTAACAATCTCCACATCCTTTTTCCTACAGAAACTTCATTGAACATCTCCTTTTTCTGCAATTAAACCCATCCCACTGTGCTTCTTGCTTGTACAATGAACATCCCATTTTTTTCATGTGCACTTTAATCTACTCCAGTTGGAAAATTGAGATAATATGAACCACCAATCCTCCCAAAGAAAGAGGAGTAGCAAAAAAGAAAAGCTAATTCACACTATTTCTTAACTAGACAATTGTGTATTTGATTAGTACGTGCAAGCAAATGAGTGTCTCACGCATGACAATGCGTGAAATTCTGTACAGCTAAGTAAAATTGGGAATTTTTGCAACAAATGTTCTCGGGAATAGCTCTCTAAAAAAAGTTATGTTCGTTGTCTTCAAGGCATGACATCACTTTCTTTTAATCTTAATTCGTCCCCACGTTTTTAAGTCTTTGGATGCAAATTGGATTGATGGATACAATGAATACTGTTGAGCATGAATTATTTTTTCAAAACTCAAGTTAGATAACAATAGTTTTATAAAAATAATAATTTGATTTTATTCTGATGCACTCAAAAATAAAGACAATTAGTTTTCATAAATGAATGTGCAAAATGAATGATGGTGAGAAATCTTTATAGATATTAAAGTGATGTTTTGAATTGATATATTTTAAGAAATAAAACTCTTTTTAAAAGTTATAACCTATGTTGATTCATAATCTTATATTAGTTCATGAATAATCTTATGTTAATTCAGGAACATCCAACTAACATAATTTAATATTTAATATTAATCAAGTGTTATTTATAATAAATTTCATGAAAAGAAGCATTCTTTGAATATGTAAAGTTTTTTGAAATACATCTCATCACTCCACCAAGTGATACCTTTTAATTTTGTAACCATCCAAGTTTGCTTTTAGAATTTAGAGAGATGTGTTCACTTTTGTGATTATAATTCATTAGATGACCCTTGTAAAAATTTCTTAATTTATAAATATATGACTTTTTAAAAAGATATCTCTTCATTTTAAAGTACTCTAACCAGAAGTAAATTAAATTTACCAAAATTTGAAATACTCAAGTTGCTGGCATGTTTCTAACAATCAAAAATAAAAAATGACGTTTCCGAATCGATTTTCTTTCCGCAAGTTTGGTGAGGGGATTTTTCAAATTTACGTTTGACCTTGGACAGTTTATGGACATAATTCTATTTTTAACAGCTGCTGAAACATCATATCTCAAGTAAATATGTCTACCATATCTCGCAGTTGAAAGTTTGAATATTTTCTGTCACAGCACTTTCCTATCTTTCTCTTTTAGGCTTTAGCTCTCCTGTGACTTGGTTTTCTTTTCCTTTTTTCCGTTAATATAAGGTGATCTTTTTCCCTTAAAAAAAAAAAAGAACGTTTGAGTATTTTTAGGAGAACTGAAAAATGAATAGGTTCTTAAATGGGACTTTTCAACCAAGGCTCCCCCCATTTTTATCGTAAATCTCTGGTTAACATAAACTGTTGTTTTTTTTTTTTTTTCAAAAGATCACCTCCAATTTTAGGCCCAAAGTGAATTAATAAAAAAGGAAGAAGAATATAAATTATTTGGGGTAGCCTCCAAATCAAGATCAATTGTTATTAATGTTGATTGTTAGTCATAGATTTATACTTGAAGGCCAAGACACCGAGTTCTAGAAATAAGACAATTGGCTTGTCACTTAGAGCATGAAGTGGTGGGAGTGAAAAAGAAAAAGAAAGAGTGACAGATAGGTCTCCATAATTCAAATTAAAATTTAAGTGTCAAACTTTAAGAATTTATAAGTTTGATTCTCAATTTTGTAATTTCATTATGATGAATTTGTAACTTATATTTTAAATTTAAATAGGAAAAACAATTTTTTCAATCATGTTAAAATTTAAAAATAAGTTATGAATTTATTACAATAAAATTATAAAATTAAAAATAAAACTTGTTAACATTTAAGGCTTAATCTTAATTAATTAATTCCCTCATTTGTCATTCTCAAAAAAAAAAAAAATAAAAAAAGTTGAAAAAAGTGAAGAGTGAAGAAGTGTGCAGGCCTGTGGGGTGCGGGGTGAAAAAGTAAAACAGAGAAGAAATGAATGAAGAGTGAGAGGTGTGAGGAAATGATTTGGGAAGAGAAGAAGAAACGTTGCCTGGAGAGTATTGTATTTTAAATACGTAAAAATTTTCCTCATCCTCATTTCATTTCTGTAAGCCTTGCCCGTTCATGTATCCAACGTAAACTTCTACCAAGGATATTACTAACAATGTATCTATTCATTTCTTTATTGACCGCAGCTCAACCCTCAAACAATCAAGTCATTAAATTTGAATACAAGTAATTATAGTGGCAGTGACATTCGAGCAAACCTTGAAAACCTGTCCTCAGTCCTAGGGTGACATCAGCAAATGCAATTCTTTTCTCCCCTAGCTGTTTAAATTCTGCATATTCAGTTACTTGCCATCAGCCTATAAAAATATGACAAGAACTAATCAACTATTTTCATCTTAATGCAGAGGAGACCTAATTCTTCCTATCCTTTTTATTTCTTCTTTTATGCTTTATTTGGGTTCAAAAAAAAAAAAAAGAAAAATTTCTTCTGTGTTCAATGGATGTTAAGAATGTCAAACTTTGGTCTTCCTGTTACCATTGTAGTTCCAAAGATTCTCTTTCTTTCCTTGTAACTTCATCCCCTCTTGTAACAATCCTACCTTACAATTGATAGGTCAGATCTACAATTAAAAAGAGATGAGACACCGTAGAGCAAGCTCGGGAATCCTAGCATTACAAATCCTCAGTGGATCGCTTCTTTTGTGCATGAGCTCAACATTTAGCTCTGCAACTATGACCCTACAAGGAACGAAACTGATCTTCAAGCTTTACTTGACCTCAAGAGTCAGATAACTCGAGATCCAGTCAAAACAATGAGTTTCTGAAACAATTCATCCATCACTGCAAGTGGGTAGGAATCACCTGCAACATCTCCACCGGAAGGGTGGTGCAACTGAGCCTTGGACAGCAGAGATTGGCCGGCACCATTTCACCTTCTATAGGAAACCTCACATTTCACAGAGAGCTCAACATAAGCTTCAACAGCTTCCACGGTGAATTTCTTAATGAAATGGGTCGTCTGCTATACCTTCAACATATAATCATTAAGGGGAATGACTTTTGTCAGGAAGTGAGCAAATAATCAGCAAAAGAAAACAAGAGAAAACAATTGAAAGTTATAAAATGATAAAAGATGACACAAGAAATTGAATGTGGGAAAACCCCCAGTTTGAGAGACAAAAAAAAAAAAAAAAAAAACTCACAAGCAACGAGTGAGTAATTTCACTATAGAAGATGGGAATTACAATAATTATCTCTTTTATGGGAGATGGAGAGACAAGATATATATACAACTTTTCATCAACTAAAAATATTATCTTGAATAATAATAAATATCCTCTAAAATATCAAATAGAAATATGATAAATTTACACCAATATAATATATAAAATATGAAGGATTATAAAGATTTGAGTCATAATCTCAACAAACTTCCGCTTGACTCAAATTTAGTAATGCTCGTAATAACCAAGTAGCCCCAAAGGACAATTAAGTGCTATAAATACTAACTAAGCCCAAGTAATACTTGAACTTAATATCAGGAAGAGGCTTCGTAAGCATGTTTGCTGGATTTTGGGATGTTTGAATTTTCTTCACAATAATTTCACCAATTGCAACAATATCTCTGATAAAGTGATGTCTGATTCTATATGTTTAGTTTTCGAGTGATATCTATCATTCTTAGTTAAATGAAAAGCACTTTGATCATCACAAAAAATATTAGTAACTCCTTAGACAACCTTAAGTTTAACCAAATAGCTTTCTTTACACCCTCAATTGCTACTATATGCTCTGCTTCAGTTGTGGATAATGCAGAAATAGATTGAAGAGATGCTCTCCAGCTAAGAAAAGAGCTATAAAGGGTGAAAATATAGGTAGAAAGAAACTTTTGTCCATCAAATGTGAGTGGACATAAGACAATATAGGAAGTCCCATATCGGATAAATTTGAGTTTAATAATTAATATATAATAAAGAGGAAAGACTCATAAACTTGAGTCTTGAGGTTTTGAGTAAAAATATGGCACCTTTTTGTTGCTCTTATCTCTCCTCTC